GACCGGATGATTATGGAAGCCACTGAGATTGAGTGATACATCTACAATATGAACACGGTATATGATCTTTACCTAGGCTGGTCATAGATGCCACACGTTGACTCTCTCAAAGGACTTAGGTAGCCTCAGATACAGCACTGCTTGTCCTGACCCGGCGAATTCCTCTCTGTCAACTATTTCTTATCTTCTGTATCTTTCCTTTCATCATCATTTTCCTATATTATTTCACTTTTCCTTCTTTCTATCTTTCAGACCATCCCTCATCTGTCACTTCTTCCTTCCGTCTTCACTCCCTTGCACCTGGTGAATTCCTCCTGGTCCTTGATAAAAGCTATTTATTTCCTGTCTCTCCCTTGCATGTCTGTTCCCCTACTTCTGGCCAAGCTGTGGTCTCCTCTTTTCCCACTGGTCTCATCAAGGTTCTACCTTGTCTGACTGGTTTCCATATCTCAAACTGATCCCCTGTATGTGGCTTACTCATTGCCCTGATGATGGCAGCAGCAACTCTGAAACGTCAGTAAACTTCGAAGGGGGGTAGATGGCACAACAACCCAGAAGAAAGTTTTTTCACATTTTATGGTTTGTGGTACATCTTTAAAAGAAACTGCAATTCTAAGTCACAAATCAGATATATTTACACATGATATTTCTAGTTACTCTTTGGTTACACAGTACGCACATTTGTGTACTGATTATAAATTCACTCTACATGGAAGCACAAAGAATTTTCTTGCATCCATCTAACTACAGAATCTCTCATTTTTAGCTTGACCAAAATTAAAGTGCATTACAAAAATAATTACACATTTATAACGACATTACAAAGAATACTTATGTTTTATAGTTTCAATAATTCTTTATAAATCTATTTTCAGTCAACCTGCAGATGCAGTGACTTTATCCCCACTCAAGGAATTACAGTAAGTGGCATTCACATATCTATGAAGCTGAAACTAATACTGCAACGGAACCTTTTGTAGATACTTCCTTCACACTACATTTTTTTTCATTTTTAATGAAATAATGTAGCTTCACCACGTAATACGCCATGTGCTTTCTACTTGAACTGGTTTCAAGACTAATACTCTATAATGCAGGAGCAGAATAGTAACAGATGCAGTATCATATTATTTAGACGTATTTAAGGGGCTAATTTTAATCTAACCAGATTTATAAAATAAATTATTTTGAATCACAAAGCCACATAATATATATTATATTTAATACTGTATTTTGTAGTAAAAAGCAGAAGAGATCGTACAGAAATTATTTTTAATGGTCCACTCTTCTAGCTCAAACCTCAGAACGTTTTAGTGTGTTAATGGCAAATTCAAAGTTGAAAGGCAAATATGAATATGCAAAAGGGATCTTTCATTAATTTTCCACTAAAAATTCTTTGGAAATTATAAAAAATGGCACTTGAATCAAGATAGGAATTAATTTCTAATGAACAAAATCTTTCAAAAGCACAAGAGTAATGCAAATGCTTTACATTCAATGGCACAGCCAAATTAATTTGGAATCAAAAATTTGATAAAGCACTTTAAGTTAAGAACAACAATGAAGGTTCAGAACTGAAATCTGCAATGGAAAGGAGAGGTCCTATAAAGAAAGAAAGGTTTGTAAATACCAATTCTTACATATGGTCTCTGCTGAACATTTTCTAAAACCTTATTTTGCACATCTTGAAAGCGTCATTACTTGATTTACAGAAATTTAAATACTTTTAACAGACAACACACGTGTGTTCGTAAAATTACAATATTCTAATTCCCTTAAACTAGATATATGACACCTGAATTATAACTGAGTTCAGTAAAAATATCTGAAAGCAGCGCCTTCTTTCTTCTGTATTTAGAAAGGGAACAACGATCACATGAAAACAGTGCCCTCTGAAAACTAGAATATTAATGACTTAAGGACACAAAAAGTTTTAATTTTTCTCAGCTAACAATCATGAAACTTGAAGATTTGGTCCACTTTTCCTCAAAACTGTGATACCAATCGTACCACGAATCTTTCTTAGCAGATCAATGACCTCAGCAGTGCTCATGTTATCCACATTCTCATCATTCACCTGTAACAATGAGAATGTTATTTGTACACACTGAAAGAGCAAAGTTAAGTTAAGTTGGTTTTGAATTACATACATAAGCAAATAATATCCCACGCTCGATCGCTTACAGTCACCGACATGGGGTCCAATTCAGCTTCAGTTTTGCAGTAAGGCAGCAGACCCTCCTCTCTGACTACCAGGCGAAATGTTAGGTGTCAATGCTCAACTGTTTCTTTGTAATACCCAATTTTATTTTTCACTTACTGCACTGTTACATCGTAAGTTGCAAGTCTAATAGAACGGGTCACCCTTAAATTGTCTGCAACAGCTCAGTTGGTAATGTGTTTCAGTATGGCCTAGCGTTCTATTGTAATATCATGTGGTTAGAAACAGACAATTATGTGCTCATGCGCATTAATCAAATCTCTACAATCTAAAGTCTACTCTCATGTCCTTATCAAAATCCTTCACTTGCAGATACAATCTCAGCCATCCATACAGAAGGGCTAATAAACTGGTTTTCCTTTCAATAACCCACTGACTTAATATTCACTAGATGTGAAAATAATAAACAGTTCATATAAGATTTTAAGTTGTCACAAAGGTAAATATTCGTAATTTTCAAGGTGGTTATCAATGTTCTGGAGGAATATACCCCTTCCAACACCTGGGTCACCACCTACAAGACTTCTGCACGGCATCACAACCCAGAATATCACAATCAACAAAACAATTCATTACCATGAGTACTTGGTCCCCCGCTTGCAATCGGCCATCCTTAGCGGCCACACTGTCTGCATATATGGCACTGATGTAAGTGTGATGACCATCTCCCCTCAAACTGAAGCCCAGTCGACTGTTCCAGCCACGGGTCAGCTCCACCATGAACACCTTGCAGACAGCAAATCAGATAGCATTAACGTTGGTTTGAAAAAACTGCCTCGGCACACCTGATTACATAAAAGCCAGTCTCGTGAATTTTTGCCTCAATACTTTCCAACTGAAATTCAATGGGAATTTAAATTCAATAATTTTAAAAAATCCAGACAGACAGAGTGATGTGTCATATGAACCAAAAAAAAGGGTTATAAAAGCAAGAAAGGGTGAGAAGGACCAAGGATACTGGTATGTAGGGAGGACTGGAAAGGAATCCAGGAGAAATGAGGGAAGGAGATAAAGGTATTAAAAGGATAAAGAAAAGATAATAGAGATTAAGATACAAAAGACATCATTCACCACTGAAATTAAACAGGCTTTTACTAGTACATGAATACAACAGAGCAAAATCTATTAACGAGGTTCGCGGTGAGAATTCTAGCATAACACAAAGTTACTTAGTCTGATGTCACAATATGCTGTTACTGAACCTGCAGGTTCATCAACTAGAAGCCACCCTGAGCCACTTGAGGGATTGTATCAAAAACTTTATACACATTTTTTGTTCATCCATGCCTGGAATATGCCTGGACCATCTTATTCTTCTTGATTTGCCCACTATATCAACTATTAGAGAGTATAAATTACAAACTTCCTCCATTTAGGTATTACTCAAATCTCTTTTCAGTGAAATGTTCAACATGGCAAGGATCAGTGAAAGATGTCACCACAAAGAAACTTCTGGGAATGTGAGAACTGTGCAAGAATGTATTTGTTGCATTCAGTGTGTGTGCGCAAAACGGTCAAATATGTGCAACTTGCAAACATTAAATTCTTTCACACTTCAAGAAACAGCTGCAGAAATTCCTGAAATGTTTGTAACAGCCTGTGGAAGTGACAGTGTGACAAAGAACGGTTTTCATATCAAACGCATTCTCTGACACAGAAATGAGGGTTCATCCTGAATTTATTCCCCGAGGCCAAATGGTTAATCCAGCAGTTCATGAACAGGCTGTCAGACGAAGAAAACCATAGAAATGGTTCGACGTCCCATCCTGAGAGTGCAACCTGCCACATGTCACTCTTCATTAGCTAGTTTTTGACGGGTAAAAATATTCCCAGATTATACAATGAGCCTACTCTCATGACCCATCACTCCATGACATTTGGCTGTTTTTAAAATTAGAAGAAATTAAGAAAGGGATGTATTTTTCATAAAATTGAAGACATAATTTCCAACATGACATCCTACCTGTGCGCAATTCCAAAAGAAGACTTCCAGAAATGTATCTAACAGTGGCAGGAGCACTGTAACAAGAGTGTGTGCGCTGGAGGGGAGCACTTTAAAGGGGATTGTGAACGAAACAGGTATCAATCATTTACCAAACATTTGATCAAGCCTTGTGTTCACCTCCCATGGTGACAGCTCACCAATTAAGACACCTGTGGCAGCGCCCCACTTAAAGTATTAACAAAAATGCTATCGCAGATTAATTATTTTGAAATAAATACAATCATCCACATGCTTGAACATAAGTTACAGAGAACACGTTTGCAACTGAACGTTTTTCACAGCAGAGCTTGTTGCAATGGTGTTTAACTGCGGAGTGCCTCTTGTCGTGTACTGCTACTGAAATTTTATAAAATTTTACAAAATTTTAAACATTTAAGAAGTTCAGCTGTTTAAAACTGATTACACTTTAGAAAGCATTTCATATCTAAATCGAGAATGAAATTATCTCTTGGTTTTAATACGAGTGCAATGACCATGCAGACACACTGACCCAGAAGATAGCCACATGGAGTTGAAACATGTAGTTCGATAAACAGCTATAAAGCACTAAACGGTGTGTATGAAAGTGACATTTAAAACAAGCATCGAGTATCTGAACAGTAACAACCTGGAATGCTTTCATATAGAACAGTAATTGACAGTAAGATTTGAGGTTTTCACAGCGGTGAGTATAAAGATTTCTGTCTTCTGGGTTGTTGCGCTGTGTAGTCTGGTCGATGTTAACCAACGTTTCAGAGGTCAAACTGCCTCCGTCATCAGGGCGATGAAACGTTGGTAAACATCGACTGGACTACACGGCACAACAACCCAGAAGACAGCCATCTTCATACTAATTCATCACCCTGATGGCGGAGGCAGTATGACCTCTGAAATGTTGGTTAACATCGACCAGACTACACAGCGCAACAACCCAGAAGACGGAAATCTTCAGTAATTGATAGCTTCACCACTCAGAACATCTATACAGTACAGTACGAAAAAAAAAAGTGTTACAAACAGACTATGCTCCAAATCCACAAGAATGGAGTAACTAAAATGCTACTTCACTTTCTCGCTACAGTTTGGCATAATACTGAAAGCTCACAAGACATCTGCAAGGAAGTAATCAATTCCAAGTTGTTCAACGTGTAAAAAGTCTCCCACAGACAGCAAGTATTAACTCTATAACGTAGACGTGATAAATGATTTCTTGTGTTTACATTTGTAGACATGTGAAGCAGATCTACGGACAGAAAGTAACTTTCACAGACTAAGTAAGTATGTTGATACTGAAGCCTTGTACATACGACTGCTCAAATGATCTTACGCAATCTTATTTGATAAGGTTACAGTTATCAATTTGGTGACAACAGGACTAAGATAAAATCAAATCATGTGACACGGGTGATAGCAGAGTGACACTCTTGACAGCACACGCCATATAAACTGATAATTTCTGTTGAATGTATTCCTCTGGTTTGCAATACCACACAGTCTTCTGGGTTGCTGTGAGAAGCTCAAATCTCAGAAGGATAAATTATGACTAGTAAAATGGGGCCATCATTCTGATTAGGGGGACTTTCCTATGAGAGGAGGAGCAAAATAAGTAAAAGCCTAAATCAAGATGTTAGGACTGTGGCCATGAACAGAAATGGCTTTGGATGCAATGCAGAAACAGAATAACATTCAGAACCTGTTAATACATCTGAATAATTTTCACTTTGTTCAAAATAAATTTTTAAGTGCAAACTTAAATTATTATGTTGGATTTGAGGTTCTCACAGCGACAAGTATGAAAATGGCTATCTTGTGGGTTACAGCACCGTGTAGTATGGTGGTGGTAAGTACTTATAATTACAAATGAAAGATGGTAACTGTTAAAAGACATTTGCAGTTCTGAGTCACAGCACTATTAACTACCTATGTCTTAATTAAACAGCAAAATGTTATCAATAATTATATGACCATCTTATAGTCAGATAAATGCAGAAGCTAAAACTTTATGTTCAACATCACTGTCATTCTTTTATTTTTGAAATTAAATGATTGGATACTGGTACATAAGCACTCTTTCTCAGTAGTGACAACTTTAAAGCTTCTTCTTCTTCTTCTTCTTCTTCTATGGCTATCCGGTCCGTATTCGGTCCATGTCATCCTCAATTCTCCTCTTCCATTCGGTCCTCTGTTCGGTCTGTCTGTCCGAGATTGAGTTTTCGAAACATCTTCCTTTTTACGGTGCAAGGTTGTTAGCCTTGCGACCAACCCCCAACCTGGAGTACCAGGGTACCTGTCTTAGTCCGACCTCTCCCCCTCGACCAATCTGGCTAGGGGGACCCTACAAGTAGCTCTTGGGGTCACTGAGGTACTCAAGCCCCACCACCACGACAAGCTTTAAAGCTTACTCAGTATTAACTAGACTCTCAGAATTACACGTGCTCTAAAGAATCAGAAATCAGTAATTAAACCGCTTCTTCTTAACACTGGGAACAGTGAAAGGTCTAACAACTGCCCCACAATTCAAACTTGATTACATACTCCAGGATGTTTTAACTTTATGCTCATTTAAATATGGTTGAAATACCATGCAATTTGCAATTTAAAGGGCGGAATAAGGAAGTGACACACGAAAAATTACCTGTGCCTGTTGAACACGACTAAGCTTTTCTCTACGTGTAAAGGAAATCATTACGCTTGTACTTACCTGATTTTCTTGTTCACTTTCCCTGTCAACTGTGAGCTGAGTGCTGGAGTCATCTGTGAACGTGGAAATGTTGCTGTTCCCCACTTCATCATTCTCTGGTGTAAACACAATTCCTTTCCACTTGAGTAGCCCCCGAGAACCATTACCACCAGATCCAGCTTGGCAGTTAAAAAGTTTTCCCGGTATGTCCTGGTCTGACGCGCGCTCAGTCACATCATCCGAGTTTTTCCTCATACTGCTTTGGCTGTTTGACGCGTAACATCCCGGATGTGCCGACTGGTAGGCCGGATTCCTGTAACTGAATGCCGTCGAAGTGCTGGATGTTGACGACAAGTTCGTTAGTGGAGGCATACTCGCTGGCTCTGTTGGTAAACTACCATCACAGTTTGGATCATTGCTACCAACACCATCAGTCCTAAACTCCTCACTGCTATCACTTGTAGTTGGATAGCACTGACTCACACTACCAAGTGTCATATTAGTTGCAAGCTCATCTGATTCACTAGTTACCGCCACTGAGTCCCACTCATCATCTCCAGTTGCTGCGACAGAAAATGTGAACTTCTTTTTCCTGGACGCGCATGGTGTGGCACTACCACCACAAAGATCAAGAAAATTTGGGCGCTGAGGTTTCATGTCAATGCTATCACCACTGCCTGCAGTGGATGCAAAACTACTTGCATCGCCCCTCGCCTTTGTGGAGTCCATGCTTGGATATGTAAATGTGCTCGCCTGAGACTGCTCACCAGATGAGTCAGAGTTGCCAACATGACTAGTTACCATATACTTCTGCCCAAGCCCTGAAAAGGAAATCAATTAAAGATTACTTTCCATCAGTATCTGTAACAAAGGCAGCAATATTTTATATTTTACAGTCAAACACAGGCACCCGCCATTCTAACCCACGTATCAAGAACTAGCAAAAAGTTAGAAAATTATGCATACCAGAATAATAATGGGGCATTTGTCACATCTGACCCTGATCTATGTGAATGGCACCAGTGTCAGAGTCAGGTAGTTGGGTAGGTGGCTGGCTGGGGATTCCCCACGAAGAACTACCCACCCAGTCACTTCAGCACAAAGATACACACAAAGCCCTCGTATAAAGCGCCTGTAATTACTGCCATATGCGAACCAAAATTGGAATGTGTCAACAAGTTTCAGCTAAAGTATCCAATATCAAATTTCATAAAAATCTATCCAGTTTTCCTGAAGCTTTTATGAGTGGATAAAGGTGGTGGTCATGACCCATTCCATAATATATCTAATTGAACTGAGGAAAATCACAAACAACCTCAGTTAGAATAGGTGGTAATGTGGCCAAGCTGCGAAGTGGGTACCTCATAAGTCTAGAGCCTCACTGCTATATGAACCTTAGCGGGGCATCACATTGCACACACTGTTTCGCAAAAAACCATTTCGCTGAATACAGACAAGATCAAAACATTTTAAAATACAAGTGGAGGAGAGGGGTAGGGGGAGAGGAAGATACGCTTCTGTGCATGTGTCTGTATGCATGTACATATGTATCTATGTATAAATGTTCGCCCCACTTAATGGTACCTGCACCTTGTCGTGACCCAAAGAGCTACTGGTAGGGCCTCCCTAGCCAGATTGGTCGAGAGGGAGAGGTTAGACTAAGACAGGTACCCTGGTCCTCCAGGTTGGGGGTTGGTCGCAAGGCTAACAACCTCGCACCGTAAAAAGGAAGATGTTTCGAAAACTCGATCAAAGCCTTGGACAGACAGACCTAACAGAGGACCGAATGGAAGAGGAGAATTGAGGAGTCCACGGACCGAATACGGATCGGAGAGCCATAGAAGAAGAAGAAGAAGAAGTATGAACGTCCCAACATATATATGCATGCCATATATCCATTTTTCATATGATCAACTGTTTTCTGAAAAATAGAAGTCTGACTTACAGCAGACAGATATGGAGTAAAATTAAATCAGCCATACAAATTAATATAAACCTCTCACATAAAATGATTTTAATAAGAGCATCTGTTAACACTCCTACTTTGTATTTGGGACGTCCCAGGTTAAAATCTTGGCCCCCGGATTTTACTGGGGTATTTTTTGATTTACCTCAGTCCTTCCTGCACATGTCGAGGATAGTACCTTAACTTAGGCCATGACCGCTTCCTCCCACATCATTTCCAATTCATTATTCGCTATCATGCTCTCATTCAACACTATATAGACTGAGCTACTGAAAAGTGTTGTAAAATAAATTAAAATGAAAGCATCTGTCATGAAAAATTATACTAGAATCTGTTAGTAATGATACTGCATCTGATGAATGCAAAAGAACCCAGAACTCCATACTCAGTTTAGTTATGAAGAACCACAAAGCGTAACACACACTGAATATGACTCACTGTCCAACGTAGCTCCATGCACATCTGGGGACGGTGTCTTAGTGAGTCGGCGTCTCCGAGGCGATGAACACGGAGATGAACTTTGCCTGTCTGAAACTCTGTGTAACTTGCCATAGCTTGAACTACTGGAATCACATGGTGAGAGCTTCTTCACAGCCAAATCTGACAGCATATCGATTGCCTCCTTCCTGTGGAGCGACAAAATTAATTGTGTATCAGACACTTCGTAGTTCCGTTGAGCAGAGTCCCTCTTGAGAAGTTAATCATCTCTCAGGCACTTCAGAAATTTTGCGCCTTCCATGAAACCCAAATGTTCACTGCTGTAGTAAATGCTCTACTGAAAGCGTCACCAAGAGTCAGAAGATACATAGAGCTGCTAGAAGTAAATGTTCTTACGGCTAATTACCAGTAAAAATATTAATATACCAACAATCTCTACAATTAACCAGCACAGCCGCGTCAAGGCCGTGGACCACGAACACGACAGCGAGAACGGTGATCAGAGAGTTGGTGACTGAAATCCTCCGATGCAGAAGGGTGTTACAGAAGTTAGTACTCTAACTTCATAAATGACAACGCTACATTACCTGAGCAATGGCTTTGGTTTGAAAGTCTTCGCCTCGTCGGTAGGTGACAGTGCAGACACTGGAGTCTGGGACGCATCCCTGTACAGACGAAGCTTCACTCGGTCACCACACTGGCGGAGAAACATCACTGCTTCTTCATGACTCATCGGCGAAATATCAGCGTCATTTACCTGGAATATCATCCGGTGATTTGTTAAAGCTGCTAAAAACTCGGTATGAACTGCCTTTAGATTCCATGAAGAATCATCACAAAACAGTTGAATAAACCTACTGCGACCTTGAGACAAGTGGGTCCCTCTGATTAAAAATGGAGTAACATATTCATGATACTTACTGCGACTATTTTGTCACCAGGCCTGATGCGACCATCAGAGAGCGCGGGTTCGCGAACCAGTGCACGAACATAATGACCCAAAACACTTTCATCCTCCTTCCGCAAGGTAAAACCAAGACTCCGATTAACTTTGGTCAGGACAATGTCAAACTCCTGCAAACAGAGAATATTAAATTCTGATCACGCCATTTATGTTACACAATTAACTACACTTTAAACAAAATTTTTAACTACAATTTCATTTTTACTAATATTCATTAAAGATTTGCGGCATTTTAATTTTGTGAGAAAGGGAAATTTAATGCTAGTATAGTTTACGATGAACTATGTATACGTGTTTCTGTTATGGGCGTTAACTTTGAGCGTTTCGTGATGATGTACTTGTTCTTCGACGGTATTCTGAATGAAACCATTTCACTGCACAGCGAATAAAATTACATTTTGTTTTTTTCTTAAATAAAATAATTATTGGACATTTCAACAAATGCTTTCTCTAATGTGAATAAAGTGAGGATATGAAATAAACGCAAGCACTTTAAAGATAAAAATGTTTTAAGATCTCCAAATCCATTACGAATACAACCGAAAATTACGAAAAAAAAAACAGTGGAGTGTCTACACCTAATATTTTGGCCAGGACGTCAGAGGTTCGACTGTAATGCTCCAAAATCCGAATCGAATTGGAGTGCAACAATCGACCCTTTTACTGTCGATAACAGTATCGAAACAGACCGAGGCTCCATTCAACACAGCGAAGTTGCTGTTCGAATATTTCGTCTTCTCCCTCCCCTAGATCAAACAACGGATTTCTGGCACGTTCTGCCAGAACTCGCGTGTTCAGTAGTGAACCAACGTAACATACCTTCTGCAGCGGTGTGAGAAGTGACTTATATGCCGAGATATTTTTGTAGAGACCTGAAGACCACACACTTATAGTCTGCACGCACGCACACAAAAAGAACGAAGAAAATAGATTTTAGCCCGAATTAACTCAGGCTGCATAAGCGAATGTCCTCACAAAATAAGTTTGCAACTGGCCAACTAACCAACAACACAGAATCAGCGAGACAACTATCAGACGCCATCTTCCTCGACCCACACTTCACACCTTGCCGCTTTCCCGTTACAATTACGTTTGGGTTAGGAAGCAGACTGGCGCCGGGGGAACCCCGCATTCCGGACGGCTACTTGTCCACAGCATCTTCCTGGATTTCCCTGATCTCTCTACCCGAACGATAGAACAGAACCGAACACACATGACCACCGCCTTCGCCCCAAAACCTTCAGAGCCATATCTCATTCGAAAGTACACAACCAATCATATATTTAATGTTCCTGGTGTCCGCGCTACGTGTTCAGCCCATCATACGCCCACTTTAACAATCTACACGAGGTGTAGAAACTACCAATTTCATTGTTACGTAATATCCACTGTTCTCGACGTCTTGGGTCAACATTTTCCTCGACATTTTGTCTTCAGTCACTTCCGTGGTCTTCTCCATCAGATCAAAAGACCACTACAAATTAGCTACATAAAATTACAGGACTCTGTTAAATTGTTATCGACGATCGTAAATAATGGCGGGATCAGGCACTGGAGATGTTAAACTTTCCTGTTATATCAGGAAGTTCGATAATTAGGTGCTTTAACTACAAACTTTAAAGTACTCGACAGTACGTCACAAGCCCCACGGAGAAGAAGTGCACTGGGATGGAA